ATAATGAAACTTGCTGAATTTTTTTATTATCAAATTAATGTGTGTTTGTAAATAGCATAGCATAAGATAACTAGTCATACGTAGTACGTTCGTACGTACGTACAGGCATATGCGTCATATCTGAAATGTATAACCAATTTATACCCGAAAGTATGCAAATATCGATATAGTGTACAAGTTACACGTCTCTTAAATATACGTACAATAATATTAAATCAGACCGGATTAACATTAACATTAAGGCAAAAAATTTATACGTAGAAGTATATACTGTATATCAGATATATATAAACGATAATGCTTTATCAATTATTATTACTGCATTATATAAATTATATTATATATAATAATATATTGTTCTACAGTGACAGACGATAAAATATTTAAACTTTTTATCGTTTTTAGTTAATTAAATTAATTACATACAGTTGCTCTATGTTAAAACTGTTCAAATAAAATTTTTCTTATAAATTTGTATATACATCTATATATTTTTTTAACAAACCAAAAATGCTAGAATACAGTAATTCATTATGAGCTGGACTAAAAAGATAATAAAATCCGTCATAGCAGCATTAGCTATAAACTTAATCACTACTAGTCTAATAGAGTTTAACAGTGTTATATTAGTAGGTTCCATAAGCATATTTATCTTCATGTTTGGCAAACTAAAAGAATGATAATCAATAGAAAAAGAATAGTGATAAAACTTTTTGAAGCGCTAGGAGATAAGTATTTCCATATTGGTAATTGGATGTATTTTTATAAATCCTAGCCAACAAAATGAAGTAGTTGATAGCCAAAGAGAAGAATGGCAAAAGGAACTGAATATTTAAATAAAAAGCCTATAAAAATTTTTTAAACTTTTATTTTAATTTAGAAAGGTATAAAAGTTTAATGTCTAAAATTTAGCATTTATATATAGATTTTTTTAAAAAAAATTGTATGATATATAATTTTTAAAATTATAATTTATATTTTTAATACACAATATTTTTTTTTAATATTGTAATATAGAAAACTTTGGAGTATTTACTATGTCACTTGGCTTAACATGCAGAGAGTAAGAAATATAAATAAAAGAAGAAAGAGAAACTAAAAGAAAAAAAAATTAAAAACAAGAAATAGAAAATATAAAATATAGAAGACAAGTAAAAAAAGAGATAGTAAAAAGAGGCAATAAAAAAAACAATAAAATTACAATAAAAGGCAATAAAAGAAAGTATATAATATAATAAGTATAAAGTCAAGAGGATAATATTTATTTATTAGATAAAAGGTTAGAAAAACACAAGTTACTGTAGAACCTATCCTGCCTTGGGTAAAATGGCAGATTTTATATATCTTTTAAAACTCTATATAATTACTAATTATAGTTTGTACTATTATATTATTGTATTAACAAGACTAGTTAATAAGACTTGTTAATAAGACTTGTCAAAGAAACTTGTCAATAGGATTTATCAACAAGACTTGTCAATAAGACTTGTCAATAGGACTTGTCAACAGGACTTATCAATAAGATTTGTCAATGGAACTTGTCAACAGGACTTATCAATGAGATTTGTCAATAGGACTTGTCAACAGAACTTGCCAATAAGACATGTCACAGGGGCATATTTAATCAAAAAAGAAAATTATGTATATTGTATGAATAAAATCCTTTGAACACAATAGATTTTATTAGCATAGAATGTATGTACAGTTAGCTATTGTTATTAACAATCGTATACGTACTATAGAGTAGATAGTTACGTATAAGTGTAAAGGCTTAATTTTTGAGTTATTCCAAAATAAGTTAGTGTTAAGAAAAAGTTAACACATAAATCACATGTAACATTACATAAAACGAGACTTACGTCAGTTAAAATAACTTACGTAAGTTACCCAACCCTTATCTGTGCAGTTTTATACTTTTCGAGAAAATAAAAACTTTATTTTCCAAAAAAAAAAAGATTAGCAATTTATCATCATTATGCAAATCCAGAGTAATTAAAAGATAATATATATCTACTTTATATTAAATCGTGTAATACATAATTATATACAATATTATATCTGATATCGATATGCAAAAGATAGCAATAACCAATAGTCAATACCAGTATTAGTATAGCGATAGCGGATGAAATTATAATTATCAAAAAAAAAGAAATAATCTAGCCCGAGCCCTTCTGTTGTTTTGAGGCTGTGAAAGAAAACAAAGTTCGAAAAAAATAATTATAACGCGTTCATTATCTTGTTTGTCATAACATAAACACTCAGCATATCGATATGATGGCTTGGACATTAATGAATAAATAGGAAATTATGTTTTTCTCTTGATAGAGTTTTCGAATTATGAAATAAGAATAGATAGAGATCGTAACTCAGATTAATCTTTCTTTTTTTAAAAAATGCTTGCGTGATTTTTATGTTTTACAGAAATTTTATATATATTTATAAATCATTGATTTTGTTTCCTTCATTAAATTTAGACGATGAATTCAAATGAAAAAAGGGATTTTTGGATACGTCTATGTTTAGCCATACCTATATTAATTTTGGCTTTTTTATGTCCTTGCTTGCGTAAGTTAATTTCTTAAATTCTTATTAATAAATGATTATTTTACTAATTAATAATAACTGCTATTATTGAATAATAAAGAATACGCGAAAATAATTATTCTTCTATCATTTGATCACACAACAGTAAGCGATGTTGACATAATGTAAGGCTTCTTTTCGAGAAATGGTTGCGTAAATTAATTATAAAACAATAACTTTACAAATATATATTATAAATATATATTATACTTTTAAAAATGAAAACAAAAAAACCGATAGATACTTTGCTGTTTCGCTCGTCTTTCCAGGTAAAGATCGAAAATTTTGTAAAATTTTGGTTAAATTTTTTTTTAACATTTAATTTGTTTTTTTTTTCGATTAGCTTATCTAATCATACAAGGATCATTCGGTTGTGAACGCCTAAATTTTCGACGAATGTCTGCAATGATAACAAAAAAGTTATCGATGTTGGCGAAGTAATTTCCATCTTTGAGTCTAAAGTAAAAGCCATTTATTTATCATTGATCTGTCTAAATTTATTTATTAAAAAAAAAAAAAAAAAATTCTTTAAACAGTTATCTAATTTTACTTTGGGTAATCATTGCGAGTAAGTGTAATTTTCATTTACTATAATACATAACAATATCATTTACATAATAACTTTCATCCTTTCTTTTGAATATCAGTACTTTATGCGACATACTCATCCGATCAAATACCAGGCTCAAAAAATTTAAAAATAGTTCAAGTTTTTCGTCAAATTTATATAGCAAATATAATTTGTATGTGGCTTTTTGGCGCTTTTACATTTTCTTGGAGAATTAAAGATTGTGTAAATCCTGATTTCACGAATCGTGAATTTTATGGCGAAGAACGTCCCGTGGGTCTTTAATAAAAATTTAAAAATTTTCGTGTTGTCATTATGAATTGAAAATAGAAAATATAACGATCAATAATGTATTTGATAGCAAATCCTTTTTTCTTAAAAAACCCCCCAAAATATTCTGAAATTCTACTGAATTG